GAACCATTGCTGCTTGCAGTGCCTTTCAAGCCTCATAAGGAATAGCTAACTGCAAACCTCAAGAAATTACTTATACTTCAAGGTAAAGTAAACCCTCTTGGTAATAGAAAATTAAAAATTCTGCCTTAAAAGTCTTAGCTGGGAAAAAAAAAAAAGAAAAAAGAAAAAAAAGTCTTAGCTGGGCATGGTGGCAAATACCTGTAATCCACACACTCTAGCAGGAGGATTACAAACTCAAGGCCAGCCTGTCCTACATAGTGAGACCCTGTCTAAGAAAATAAAATACAACACCCACACATGCGTGTATGCATACACACACACACACACACAGAAGTCCTCATTTAGAACTTTTGCAGTATAGGGTCCACACCATGCTTTTTGGAAACCACAGAATGCTTTTCCTTCTGTGGAAACCATATAAAGGCCCATTACCTCTCGCACACCTACAGTGGCAGACAAAGAGGCTTTCTGATCCATTTCAACAGAGCTGGCAACTCTCTCATTAGTTAAGAATAGAGAAAATTAAATCACTTGAGAACCCTATTGTGGCAGCCAAATAGAACCTGGAAGACATCCTGCTAGCATGTTCAGAGACTTATCAAAAGTTACCTCTGCTCAGATTTGAGTGATGGCTTGGTGACAACAGTGAACAGCTTGGCATTTCTGAATGTGGACATGTACACACACACACACACACACACACACACACACACAAGACTAAAAACCACAGTGAAACCATCAGTGAACAGCCATTTTATAGTAGGACCCAGAAAGCAACCATTCCAACATGATGGATCTTCCATGTTTTCACCCCACATCTGGACACCCCCATTCTGAGACGTACAGGACAACAACAAAAGAATGTCCAGCCCTCCAGAAGAGCAGCCAACCAGAAGGTGCTGCCAATGTCGCCTTATAACAGAAGTGGCACTTGCACAGTAACAAGAGGGTACCCTAGCTGCTTAGGAAGGCAGCTCTCCTCTGTGAAGTCACCGTGATCCACAGACCACCACACAGGTGACATCAGACAGCACCAGCATCTTTCCACTCGGGAGCTACATCGGTAAGTAGTGCTATACAATTCAGGTTGGCCCTGAACTCACTATGTAGCCCAGGCAGGCCTGGAGCTCATGGTAGTCCTCCTGCCTCTGCCTCCCAAGTACTGGGATTACAAACCCGCATCTCCAGTCCCACTTCTGCTACCTAAAACTTACTAGCTGTCTGATCTTAAGTGGATTCCTTAGTCTCCCCCTAAACTCGCTTCCTCACAGAAAAGGAAATAATAGCTTACTAAAGATGATGAGATGATGGACATAAACCACTCAAATTCACACTGGGAAATGCCTGTACTAGGTAGCAAGGCATAGTGGAAGAGTTACAGCAGGGATGAAAAGACAATCCTGCTCATGGAGCTTAGAATGTAGTCAAAATGTAAGCAAAAAAAGGAAACTGATAAGTAAAACACTTACCAAGTATGTTAAAAACTATTAGCCAGTGTGGTGGTACATGCCTGTAATCCTAGCACTCAGGAGGCTGAGGTAGGAGAATTGCTGCAAGGTCGAGATCAGCCTGGGCTACAAAGTGAGCTCAAGACCAACCTAAACTGCACAGCAAGACCCTGTCTCAAAAGACTGAAGAAAAAAAAAAAAAAAAAAACTAAACTAAACTAAAGCACACTGGGTGTGCTGGTCCATGCCAATAATTCCAGGCATACAAAAGGCTGATGCCAGAGAAACTCGAGTTCAAGGTCAGTCTGGGCAACTCAGTGAGACCCTATCTCAAAATAAAAACGATTGGGGCTGGGGATTTAGCTCAGTGGCATAAACACCTGCCTTTCAAGCACATGGTCGGGAGTTCCATCCCCGGTACCAGTAAAAAAATTAAAAATAAAAAAAGTTGAAGTTGTTAACACACCAAGAAAACAACAACAACAAAATGGCCTTTCCTAAGATTCTTTCCAGTACTGACTGCTACACCAATGGTTTTGTTATTAGCGATATTGTTTGCAGTATTGAAAATTAAACCTATGGGGCTAGGGATTTAGCTCAGCAGCATAAGCGCCTGCCTTGTAAGCAGGTGGTCGTGAGTTCAATACTTGGTACTGATTTTTAAAAAAAAGAAAAAGAAAAAAGAAAATTAAACCTAGGACACTATCACTGAGCTACATCCTCAGCCCTTTTTATTTTGAGACAGGGTCTCACTAAACTACTCTGGCTAACCTTGAACTACCAATCTTCCTGACTCAGACTCCCAAGTAGCTGGGGTTACAACTTGCACCACCATACCACTAGGATAGACCAGTTTTTAAGGATGGGCCAGTGTTTAAAAACTGATCTCCGAGGGAAATTTTCATTTAAGCCTAAAGGATCCAAAGAAGCCATCCGTGTGAAGAATGGAAGGAAAAGCATTCCCACCATGGGGAACAGGATGTGCAGGGTCAGAGCACAGGGAAGCACAGGAACTCAGAAAACAAATGTGGCCGCAGTGCATCATCTCACAGGACTTGGGGACCAACCCTAGGGACCCTTGTGGACTGCCACTGCTGAGAATTACCACGTCTATTTTTAAAATAGCAAACATGAGGCTAGAGAGTGCTTCTGTGTATCTTGCCCAAGGTCACAGTTATTCAGGATTTGAGACTGGGACCCTTCCTTATTCTACTTTGGGAAGCAACTTGAGCCTGCTGTTTACACATATTTCAGTAACAACTGCTTTCTGTGCCATGAAGAGTCCCCAAAACACCTTGAAAACACAAGCAACAGTACCACATCAACTTCCAAGTATCTTATCAATTATGCATTAAAATCCCTACCCTTGGAATATTACCAAGGTTACAAGAGCTGCTCAAACCTGAGTCAAAGGCTCTAAAGTAGATACGAACTTCTTTTCTTACAGCAATGAACAAAAGAAGGGGATGTCCCAGAAAATCCCAGGGTCTGCTGATGGAGTGAGACAGAACCACAGCTGCAGATGAGGGCTCATCTCAAATGAACTGCAGAGGAAAAGCTAATTACTTGGGGGAGCCGGGGGATGCATCTCTAAAGTAGTGCTTCTCAATCAGAGTGGTACCTCACCACAAAGGGAATTTGAGAATTTGTAGACATTTTGGGGTTAACTGCAAGATGTTACTGGTATATGGTGAGTTGAGCCAAGTGTATGCTTAATGCTTTGGAAAAAGACACGATGCTCGTATACAATACAGAATGTTATTACCAGAATATTAAAAGCAGCCTTACATATACACACTTTAGACACTCCTCCATAAAAGACAGACAAGCTCCAACTTTTTCCGTATCCTCATGGCTAGTGGGTTAAGTTTTTGCACATGAGGAGCATGCAATTTCGGAACTCTTTTGTAGGCTCAAAACTCTAGCATGGAACCTAGTAGAGGGATAAAGATAAAGAAGTTTCTAGTAGGAGGCAGACTTGAGAAATTTTAGCAAAAAGAGAATCCCCTTCCATGAAAATCTTTATTACATTTGTTTTGCTACACACAAAATTCCATGATTTTAGATGTTTTCCAGTGCTTTTCAGTTTAAAATCAGATACTAATGACAGTTCTTTTAAAAACCATAATCATTTCACAAAAACAGCTGACACTTTCTGGCCTGAACTACATTAGCAGGATTAATTTCAAGACGCCTAAAGCTAATCAGACGCCTGAAAGTGCCAATGGCAAATCTGTGTCTCTTCTTCAGGACAGTGCTATAAAGATCACAGAAACTCCAAACATATTTAGAGGACTGTTCTGGGCCTCAATGCCATTTTAATAATGATTCAAAAGCTACTTTCAGGTCCTACACTAAATTTGTCATCATGCCCCCCCCAATTATTTCACAAATTAAAGTTTATAGAACAAAAAAGAAAGGGAAACTTTGCAGGAAAAAACAGAGAAATACAAAAAGCCTATGCTATTTTCAGAGAACAGCAATTCCCCATAAAATACCCTAAGGACAGGAAAAATTATTTCTCCTATACAATACCTAACATTTCCCAACTCACCCAAAAGAGTCTGAGTATGTACTTTTTTCACTCAGCTTACCAATTAGCAAAGAGCAGCCCCACACCCGCTTTTGGCCAGTTTTTTAGAAGCCTGACCTGCCTTCTCAGGATAGCCAGACAGACCTGTTTTCCTTCAAACCACCTGCCAGGCCTTTCCTGCCCACTAGAGCATGGGAAATTCCCCTTCAGCCTTTAGCTGGCCTGTCACCAAAGTTTACAAAATGAATTCATCCAGATTCTTTCAATCTTTCTCTTCCCCGGTCCTGTGCCAACAAGCCCACCTTGCTGGGTTCTCGGTTAGGAAAAGATGCAGATTCACAAGAAGAGCAGAGCCCTTAGCACAAAGCAGAAGAAAAAGATGGTGGGATGTGAGAGTCCTTGAACCAAGCCTTCTGCATGATCAAAACCCAAGTCCTGCAAAGCCAGAGCTGGAGGCCTTCTATACAGCAGGCCACACCTGTCTATGCCAGCTGCCTGCTCCACTTTAAACAATTCAAATAGATCTCCAGCAGGGTGACAAAACTGGGCATCTCCCTTCTCCCAGCAAGACAGCCTTCACCCAAGCACTAGTCGTCCCCAATTTTATTTCTTTTCACGCTATTTGGGAGACACTTTCTGGTCAAATTGAATCCCACCGCCCCATAAAAGTGAGGTTGACACATCGTTTCGGTGACAAGACTCGCTGTAAGGAAGATGAGAGCTCCTCTCTTAGGATAATGATGCCCATAAATGAGACTCCAGTGGGCAGGCTTTACGGAATCTGCCATCCACAAGTGAGCACACCCTTGGAGTCCCAAAACGCCGGGCTCCGCAGCCTCGAGAAAAGCCTCTTTTCTAGACACGAGGTATCCCATTCATCCTCTGGCATCGGGAACCCAAGGACAGGCAGACAAGAGTGTGCTCCAGACCCAAACCTCAGCACACGTGAGGCCTGAGGCGCCCTGGCGTGCCCTCCCTTGCACCCCACCCTCCGAGGTCTCCGCCACCCGTAGACTCACCACTGTGCGAGCTGAACCACCTGGGTGCGATGTGCAGAGGTAGAGCATCCGCCAGCGAGGCTCGGGAGCCCAGGTACAGCATCCCGTCTCTATGGTGACCGCCGCCCGTCTCTTGGTAACCATTACCGTGGGCATAGGTGGAGTCGGACGCAGACCCTCCGCCGCCAGGCGCCCTTTCGGAGTCGCCAGTCCCCCGGGAGGCAGGGGTGTAGAGGCCAAAGGGCACTCCGCCGGCCGTGCTGGGGTCCATGCCCATGCCCGCCACCGAGCTGACTGAGCGACTACGCAGCCCCATGGCCCCGCTGCCCGTCCGGTAGTGCCCAAAGTGGGGCGCCCCTCCCGGCGGGGGCACGGCGCTGTCATCGGTGGAGACCCCCGGGAAGGGGCCTCGGGAGCGGGTCGCCGTGCTCTGCTTGCCACCCATGCTCGCCCGGGCCCCGATGGGGCAGGAACCTGGAGGCCGAGACCCTCCCCCACTTCTCAGCAGTCGGGGGAGAGCTGGGCTAGCATAAAGGGGGAGGGAGTCAAAAAGGAGACCGAGAGGAAGAAAAGGAAATAAAGGGGGGAAAAAATACAGAAAACCCGCGGGGCGAAAGAGCCAGGCGGGCGGGGACCCCAAACTAAGAATTTAAAACGATCCAAGCCAAACGCATGTTTCCCCTCAAGGTCCAAAGAGGCGCAGTCCGGCGCGGGCGCCGCGCGCCACAGGCCGCCCCCGGGGCCCGAAAGCCGGGGGAGCCGCAGGGACGGAGGGAGGGAGCCGGCGGGCGGGCGCGGGGAGGCGCCGAGGAGGCCGCCCGCCCCACGGGAGCCGGCGGAGCTGGGGGCGCCGGGCGCGTTCCCCGCCTCAGGACGCCGCGACCCTCGACGACGGCCCGGACCCCGCCAGGCCTCGGGCGGGCTGCTGCGCTGGACGGACAGGCGGAGCTCCGGAAGCGGCGGTCGCGTCGCGTCGCGTCGCGATCTCGCTCCAGCCACCGCCGGCCCGGCCAGCCGCGCCGCCCCGCTCGGTCCCGGGCAGCGCTCGCCGGCGCTCCTCGCCGCCGTGGAGACAATGGAGGGCGGCAGAGCGCAGGCGCGGCTCGCGCCCCCTCCCCCTTCGCTCCCCTCCCCTCCCCCCCGCCGGGTTAACCCCTTCGGCGCCCCAGGGTGCCTCCTGGACGGTGACGCCCGACCGGTCCCCGCCCGCCCTCGTCTGGCCTGTGGTCTGGGAAGCCTGAGCTATAAGAGAGAGACGTCTTAAAGCCAGAAGAAAAAGTGGCTAATTATTCAAGGGGCGCCACATAGGGGAGAGAGGCGGCGATGGTTCAAAACGTGGGAAGAAAACGTGAGAAGAAAAAATCACCACCTGGCTCTGAGGGTCGCTGGTCGAGCTCCCCTCCTGGCACAAATTTGCCTCTATAGCACCCTCTGCTGGACGTGCCGTCCATTCTTCCAGTTCCCCATCCCAGAGCCTCCCCGCCCCCAATCAGAAAACAGCATTTAGTGGGGAGGCAGTGAGTGTTTGGAAGCAAAACAGTACAGTAGGGCAGTTCGTGAACCGGAGCTTTGCTGACATTTGATCAGAACTTCCTATTTGGGATTTTAAGAAAACAGGTCGAGAGCCGGGCTGTAATCCCAGCCACCTGGGAAGCTGAGGCTGGAGGATCGTTGCAAGTTCAAGACCAGCCTGAGCTACACAGTGAGTTAGTTCAAGACCAGTTTGAACTGCATAGCGAGACCCTGTCACAAAATGACCAAAAAAGGGGCTGGGGATTTAGCTCAGCGGCATAAGTACCTGTGTTACAAGCAGGCAGTTGTGAGTTCCAACCCCGGTGCCGATAAAAAAAAAGTTAAAAAAAATAAAATAAAAAATGACCAAAAAGAGGAAAGAGAGAGAGAGAGAGAGAGAGAGAGAGAGAGAGAGAGAGAGAAATGGGTCAACTCCTAAGCTAAAAGCATAGAAACAGAATACTGCAGCCAGAACTGACTTTAGAAATTTCTCATCCAAGGTATACCTTTTGTTTTATTTACTGTATATTTCGATATACACCAAAATGCAAGGACACTATGAGCACTAAATATTTTTGAGTGAAACTGCATTTTGCAACAAGAATTTCTCCTCACTTTAACCCTTGTCTTTCTCACACAGTCACCTTGATTCTTTCGTACATTCATGTAGTTTTCAAGTGCTAAGTGCCTTCACTCACTCCCAGGCCTGACTTTCTCTCTCTTAAGTGTGCTCAAATAATTAGGAGAAGAAATATTAAAAGCAAACCAAAAGGAGAACGGCTGGCATGTCACAGATATTGATTGTTCCAGTGAAACAAGAGGGCAGTTATTTGTAAGCTTGGAGTGCTCAGGAGCGAGCAAAAAGCCTTCCACAAGGAAGTTGAGAGTTTTGTATAAGAAATCAAAGTAGCATCCAGGAGAGGTGGCACAGGCCCATAATTCCAGCACTGAGGAGGCTGAGGCAGACAGATTGCCATGTGTTCGAGGCCAGCCTGGGCTCCATAGTGAGTTGAAGGCCAGTCTGAACAATACAGCTGGAACCTGTCTCAAAAAAAAAGAAAAAAGAGAAGAAAAGAGAAATCAAGGTAGGAAGAAACATGGGCCAATATCTAAGAAACTATCTATGAATGCCTGAAAGTATCTATGAAGGCCTGAATGCACATCTAAAATCCAAATGAGTGATCTAAAGAAAAACTAGAAAAGACTGTGTTACCAGGAGTGGTTAAGTACTGTGCAGATTACCAGATTCCTTAATGGATAGATACCTTAGGAGAGATAAGCACACAAGGACAACTTATCCAACTAGCTTTGCTTTACTTGTTCATTCAACACTTTTTTAATCAACAAAATAATTATAATCTAGTTAAGTGTCAGACACCGTCCTAGATTCTGAGATACAGAATAGAAAGATAAATGGAGTCCCTGTTCTAGGATATCAGAAAACCATTTCAGATCCACTTGGTTGGCTGCAATCAAAGAGAAGGATAATAACAAATATTGGTGAGAAGTGGAAAAATTAGTACTCTCATACCTTGCAGGTGGGAATGTAAAACGGTGAGGCAGCTTTGGAAAACAGCCTAACAGTTCCTGAAAAAAGATTGAGTTAACAATATGAACTAACAGCCGGGCGTGGTGGCTCTTGCCTGTAATCCCGGCACTCGGGAGGCTGAGATGGGAGGATCGTTGTGAGTTCAAGACCAGCCTGGGCTACAAAGTAAGCTCCAGGCCAACCTGAACTGTATAGTGAGACTCTGTCTCAAAAAAGACAAAAAAAGGGGCTTGGGATTTAGCTCAGTGGCATAAGTGCCTGCCTTGCAAGTGTGTGATTGTGAGTTCAATCCCCCATACTGATAAAAAGAAAAAGAAAAGAAAACAATATGAACTAACAATTCCACCTGTATGTATATTTCCAAGAAAAATGACAACCTACATCAAAAAAACCCCTCATAATCTGTTTGAAATAGTCAAAGTCTGGAAACAATGTAGATGTCTGTCAACTGATAAAGCATAAGCCAAGTCTGGTGTGTTAATACAAAGCAATATTATTCAGCTATAAAAAGGAATAAAATCCTGGAACCTGCTACAAGATGAATGAACCTTAAAAACATGCTAAACAGAAGAATCTAGTCGTACAAAACTGTACACTGTATGATTCCACTTACATGAAATGTTCAGAGTAGGCAAGTCCATTGAGACAGAAAGATTAGTAGTTTCTGGAGCCTGGAGGAAGGAAAGAATGGATAGTGGCTGCTAGAGTTTTTATTTTTCTTTCCGTTTTTTTTTTTTTTTTTGTCTTTTTTTCCGTTTTTACCAGTACCAGGGATCAAACTCACGACTGCCTGCTTGCAAGGCAGGCGCTTACGCCGCTGAGCTAAATCCCCAGCCCCAAGATAATGTATCATATTTTAATGTCTGTGTCAGGTGTTATGGCTGGTATCTAGATGTCCCCCCTGCAAAGTCTCATGCACTCATAGGTGGGACTTTTCAGAGCTGGCTGGATCTAGGATGTGTGACGCTTGGATTAAGGGTGCCACCCCCTGGGTGGAGGTAGTGACACTCAAAAGGCAGCCTCGAAAGGATAAAGGAGAGAAGCTGCTGCTTTATACTTCGCTGCTTTGCTGCCGTCTGCCTATTATGAACTGTTTCTGCTGTGCAATGCCTCTCTCCCATGCCACCCTGCCTCGGAGGCGGCCAACTATAAAGTGAAGCCTCTACAAACTATAAGCTACAATAAAGCTTTCCTCCTTTCACTTTGAGTATCAAGTATTTTGTCTTAGCAACAAAAAAAGTAACAGAAATCAGCTAAAAATGGATGGATAGATAGATAGTTAGATATAATGGACACTCCATGCACACTGAAAGGTCAAAAAGCCAGTAAAAGCACAGCTGGGCTTCTAAACTCACCAGATACCAGATCTACTGGCATTTTCTTCTTTTTTGGTACTGAAAATCAAACTCATGATCTCATGCGAGGACTTCCCAAGGATTTGAAGGGGGTCCCTAGCACCTCCACTGGGAGCAGCCTCTGTGCATTGAGCTATCCCCAGCCCCTGGGCTTCTAAGCTACACAGTGAAAACACTCATAGAATCTTCAGATAGCAATTCTGTTTTCTCTGTATGCTTTTAAATGAGATGACAGACCAGCATGGTGGCGTATGCCTGTAACCCTAGCAGTTTGGAGGCTGAGGCAGGTTTGCCATAAGTTCAGGGCTGGCCCACATAGCCAACTACATAGCAACTACATACTGTCCCAAAAATGAATGAATGAATAATAAGGTGAGAAAGATTAGATCTACTGCATAAATTAGATCTTTGGCCTAATTAAGGTTAACATTCCAGTTTATGGGTATCATAAACCCACCTCATTTACACCTGACACCCTGAAAAACTGAGCTCCTGCACTGCAAAGGTGATCCCCTCCTCTCTGGAATATAATGACACCAAACATCGGTGCCCTGTGGAACCCTGAATGACAATCTTCTTAAGCAATGTCCTTGCTATCTCCTTGTACAATTATGCAAATTACAGTTGTCTCTTGAAATGAAAATATTAAAATACAGAGCTGGGAAGCCTCTCCATCCAGAAGCTTATTCACCACTTCACCTGGTAGGGAATGACTCACGCCAGGCACCAGGGTATCCACCCAGGCCTGCAGTCCCAGATAAATTTCACGTTGTCATTTGTTGCATCAAGAGTTCAGTGGATTCTTTTGTCCAGTTTCTTTTGTGAGTTCTCTGTTTCAACTTTAAACTTTGAAGTTAAAAGGTGGCAGGCTGGAGTGTGCGGCTCAGGGATAGAGTCTTGTGTGCACAAGGCCCTGAGGAATGGCAGTTTGTTTTTGCATGTTGTCGGTGCAAGGATACCCACTCAGAAATGGCTCTATTTTTGGAGCTCTTTTGTTTTCACCTGCATTGTTCTCCCTGACACTGAGAGAGATGCTTGGTGGCACTCGACCGATCTACCACAACAGCCAGGCAAAAGAGCTGAGAAAGTCAGAGTGTTCCCAAGGTTCTTTGCAAATGTTCAAGCTATGCTACAAAGCGCGAGTTTTAAACATTGTGAAAAGAATCACAGTTCAGAAAAGAGAGGGAATGGCTTGGTGGGGCCTACTCCTGGTAGCAGTGGAAAGCTATGGTGTCATCCTGTCTGCATCTAAGAGCCACAGATTGGTGAGGACTTCTCAAGGATTTGAGGGGGTCCTTAGCACCTACACTGGGAGCAGATAAAAGTCTGCTAGTAAGAAACATCTTCCCAAATCCTCTCAGAGCTCTTTGCATTTATGCTGTTTTGCTTGGAAAGCTCAAGCAGAGGAGCAAATACACACAGCTGGAGGCTGAGCATATATTCACACTCATAACTATTTTGCCGATTGATAAAGAGGGAAATTATAAGTGGAGCTCATAGGAGTCTGAGGTTCCAAGGTTCCTGGACAGATGTCTTAGCTAACTCCAAATTCTACAGAAGAGAAATCTTCTGTAGAAAAAGTATTGCATTCAAATTGCATGGCTAGCTTCTAATAAGGACCAGC